AGTTTCTGTTTAGTTTCATCCGATAGTGACAGCGATTGGCAATAGATATCAGTGGTTAGGATGGCTTTGATTTGATAATATCTTAGCATAACTGTACCAAAAACTTTTGAGATACAACTCAGTTATTGAATTATGATCTAAAGGTATTATTAACTTATATACAGGTATTGATTCTTACAGAATATGGTGGAAATAACGAGTAAATGCGAGAAAAATGAAGCACTGGGAGGGTTGGTAGCGCAGTCACTCACGTACGGAAATATCGGTTCCACTTGTTTGTTATAAACAGCCAAAAAATATCTATAAATTAATAGATGATTAAAATGAGAATTGTATTTTTATTATATGAATGAATTGTTTGATGAGGGCATACGTCAAGAATAAGTTGAATGGAGTGAATACGATCACAGAAAGCGGGAATAAAACCAAATAATTCATTGAAATGAGTACCCGTGCCCTAAACCAGTTGACCACTCACTCCAATCACTGTATTTGTTTGATTGCTATTACTTTGAATGAAACAATTATTTCTCGCGCTATTCACTTCTATGATAATCAAATCTAAACTCTAACATTGTCACTTAAATGCTATAGCATTAATTACTATGAATACAATTTATGATTTTATGTACTGTATTATTAATGATTTGTAAATTATTAACATAAATTCTATAGGCAAAATTACTTTTACCTATTTATAAATGCGAATATTATTATTATACAAAATTACTGTATAATTCTCGTTAAATTAAATTTAGCTGATAATTAAGTCTATAAAAAATAAACTACAGTTTAACCTAAAATAAGCTATAGAATCTAATCAAGTAGGTTTTTATGAATATGAGGTAAACGTATAAGTTTTATGAATATATTTTATAGTAAAATCAACGAACTCTAAATCTAAACTTGAACTTAAGTTCACAGAGAAATGTCCTTTTCTAATTATCATTAACTTCTAGAATCATTCATACGTTTAAAACTTAGATTTTACTTTTATATATTATATAATTTTGTATTTTTAGATCTAAATAACGTTTCCATCAATTAATGAATAATTAAATAGTTGTCAATTTTACATACAGTATTATAAAATTAGTACCATTTACTAATATTTATGCCTAAAAGTATTATGTACCGGTAAAATGAATTTACTTAACTCTCCAATTCCCAATTCACTCAAATGTATCTACAAATAAAGCATATCTATGAATAATTTCAAAATTATCGCATAATTAATTAATCAGGGATTTGCTTATATAAATGCAAACAAATCGTTTTGACAGTTTAAACCTATTTTCAGCACTAAAACCTATTTCTATAAATTTTACTACAAAAATACAAAAATAATAATGGATTTACAAATTGATTAATAAATAAAAACGGATTTGAAATTTTAAAATACTATTGACGTAGGAAAATATATGCCTAAAAAGCATATAAAAGCAATTATTGAGCTTTTATTTGTCAGTAAAGGTGTGAATCGGTTACAACTTAATAAATCGCATCTAATGATGAAGTATCAAATGTTTGCCACCTTCATTATATGTATGTTTTTTGGGCTACAAATATCTCATATGAAAAAAGTGATCCCAAATCGACACGAATGCGTCCAATTGAAAGCTGCCGTCGAAACATCGGGAGGTAAGGCATACTTCGATAACCATTTCGTTTGCTATAACTTACATACAAGTTAGGTATTGTTAAAGTAAATTGAGAAAGGTCTCTCTGTATTTCTATGATCATATTTGGGTGATAACAGGTCTGGAGTACTTTGCATCAGTGAATGGAGTGGTGATTGATGTGATCCAAGGGCTCTACAAAGACTGTCTGTTGGCTGAGGAGGGCATCCGTTTCAAGAGATACCGAAAACGACACAAACTACTCAATCATAAACAGATAGATTATAATTATATTATATAAATCAAATCAATCGCTTAAAATAAAGAATCAAATTATTAAAAACAAAAACAATTTAATAAATAATAAAATATCGATAAATAAGATAAGAATTATATAATATTATGCTGTATTTCTAATAGTGTTAATACAACTAAATAATAATACTTATATTAAAATAAATATTTAAATAAAGGTAAAAATATTTATTTAAACATGTAATAACTTCAAAAGTAAACCTAATTTCTTAATTAATAAATAAACTTATATAACAAACAAAAATATTTATTAAATGATTATAGTATATAAATAGGACGTTATTCACTCTAATCTCAAAAATAATTTATTCAATAAAATATAAATATTTACAAAATGTTGTTAATGAATTCATTATCTTAAGTATGAATATAATATATTACAAAATATTAAATGGAAATATAAAAATATTCCAAACAGACATATTAAAATTTTTATAGTAATGAATCATTACATAATAGATTATTACAGTAAATATTTTTAGAAAGTACTGGAACAAATATTTTGCATAAATATAAACTACAAATATACTCTACTTAGAATTTATAATTAAAAGGCAGTATAAAATTACTATAATTACTTTTGTACTTTTATGACAATACATTATTTGACTAAATTTTGCAATTACTAAATTATTGGTAATAAAGATAAAACTTTAACTAAAATATTCTAAATATTCTAAAATAATATTTTTTTACTCATTATTTTGTAATAACTCCTGACGAAGGCTCCGATTAGGACCCAAAGTACTCGAGTATTCAGATCTAATAAATATCTTTAAATCATCACTAAGTCTAAAGAGTTATTTCATATCATATTTATTCTAAATATTATTGTTATTATCGAGTTTGGGGTTAAGTTTCATCTCAACTGATGTGATATTTTTCTT